TTCTTTCTGGCTGCTTGCAATATTTTCTCCTTGACCTAGGAACTCTGGAATTTGGCTATAGTATTCCTGGGAGTTTTCCTTTTGAGATCTCTTTTAGGAGGTGATGGGTGGATTTTTTTTTCAATTTCTATTTTACCCTTTGGTTCTAGAATAGCAAGGCAATTTTCCTTGATAATTTCTTGAAAGGTCATGTGAAGGCTCTTCTTTTGATCATGGCCTTCAGGTAGTCCAATAATTTTTAAATTATCTCTCCTGGATCTATTTTCCAGGTCAGTTGTTTTTCCCACAAGATATTTCACATTGTTTTCTATTTTTTCATTCTTTTGGTTTTGTTTTATGATTTCTTGATTTCTCATAAAGTTGTTAGCATCCATTTGCTCCATTCTAATTTTTAAGGAGTTTTTTTCTTTGGTGAGCTTGTGGACCTCCTTTTCCATTTGGCCAGTTCTGCTTTTTAAGGCACTCTTGTCCTCATTGGCTTTTTGGGCCTCTTACCATTTGGCCTAGTCTATTTTTTTAAGATGTTATTTTCTTCAGTATTTTTTGTGTCTCTTTTACCAAGCTGTTGATCTTTTTTCATGATTTTCTTGCATCACTCTCATTTCTCTTCTCAATTTTTCCCCTACTTCTCTTAATTGATTTTCAAAATCTTTTTTCAGCTCTTCCATGGCCTGAGACTGATTCATATTTTTCTTGGAGGTTTTGAATGTAGGAGCTTTGACTTTGTTGTCTTCTTCTGAGTGTGTGTTTTGATCTTCCGTGTCACAAAAGTAAGTTTCTATAGCCAGAGCTTTTTCTGTTGTTTGATCATTTCCCCAGCCTATTGCTTGACTTTTTAACTCTTTGTTAAGGTAGGGTTCTGCTTCCAAGGTGGAGGGTGAACTGTCCCAAGCTTTAGGGGTTTCATGCAGCTGTTTTCAGAGATACTTCTAAGGACCTGTAAGTTTTCAGTCCTTCCCAAGTGGTATGATCTAAGGAGAAGTGTTTACTCTTCTCTTTGCCTGTGCTTTGGTCTGTGAGCAACTACAAATACTCTTTTCTGCCCTGGAATGAGGAGGGTTCCCCCTCCACTGCTGCCACAAGCTCTGCTGTGCTAGGGTTCCTCCTCACCCTGGGACTGCCACCCAAGATTGTGACCTGGATCCAAGTGTGGGCAAAGCAGCAGAGTCCTGCCTCAGTGCTAGCAAAGAGACCCCTGTAATCTCCTTCTGAGCAGTTGTTCAACCCCCCTTACCATCTGTGGGCTGAGAAGTGTGGAAGCCACCACTGCCGCTGCTGATTCAGTCACTCCCAAGGCCTGCTCTTGGTTTGCTGGGGCAGGCGTTGTGCTGGGACAGCCCACACTGGACTGCTCTCCTCCCTCACCTAGGTCTGACAGACCTTTCCTGATGACTTTCTAAATTGTCTTTGTGTCTGTGGGCTGAGAAGTCTGGAAACTGCCACTGTTGCCAATGATTCCCACTGAAGCTTCTTGAACAGAAAAGTGCATGATCAGACTTTTGCTTTAGGCGTATAACTTTGTCTGCTTTGTGGAGGATAGATTAGAGAGAAGACCAGCATTAGTCCAGAAAGGAGGGGATGTGAGCCTGCACTGCAGTGGCCACTGTGTGGGTGGAGAGAAGGGTCACATTCTGGGGAGATAGAAGACTTGGCAGCTAATTGGCTCTGAGGGGTGGTTAGTAAAGGTGGAAAGCTGAGAATGTCCCTGAGGTTGCCAACCTGAGTCAGTGGAAGAAAGGTGGCACCCTCAATAGGAACAGGGAGGAGGAGTATATTGGGGGAAAGGATGTAACGAGTTCTGCTTTAGGCATATTGAGTTTATGTTGCCTATGGGACATCCAGGTGCTGGCGTCCTGTGGGCAGTTGGTGATGTGGGATTGGACCTCAGGAAGTGGGGGATGGGGGGTGGGGGGGTGGAGTCCTCCTGATATAGATGATAATTGAACCCACAGGAGCTGATGAGGTCACCAGGGAGTATAAAGAAAGAGAAGAAAAGAGGGTCTAGAACAGAGTCCCAAGACACAACATCAATGCTGATCCTACAGAAAAGAAAAAAAAAGCCTGAGAAGAGGACAGGGAGGTAAGAGGAGAACCAGGATTGCACTAGATGGTCTCCATCATTCTTTCTGTCCTAAATCTCACCATCCTCTCACTTGTTGAGACCCCTTCCTGCTTGACCTCATTTCTTTTGCAGAGCAGTAAAGGGCTAAAGTTATGGATTCCTTACCCAGGTTCAGCCTCTGAATTTCCCCTCCAAGAATAAGAAGGAGGGGGGAGGATGGAGATAGTGAGGAAATGGAAAGTTAAAGTCAGCATTTCCCTTTCTTCTTCCCTGACTCTCCTGCAGACACATGGCGCCCATGCAGAAGTGTCCTTTCCGTTCAGAGGAACTCATGTCTTTGAGGTCCCTGAGAAGCTTCCTTCCTTCCCCTTCCCTCCCCCCACCCTTGCTTTCAGCAGCCTTAGGGTCATCTAGTCCAACTGCTTTATTTTATAGAGGCTGACCAAGTCATAGCTAGAGAGTTGGAGGGGCCTTAAGGCCCCTGGTCCTTCAGGTCATCTGGTCTGCCCCCCTCTTTTAACAGAAGAGGAAAATCAAGCAGAGACATGTAAGTGACTATGACTACATTAAGTCAGCAAAGGCAGAATTCAAATTCAGGCTTTCATTCTACCACCACACTACATTACCCAGAAAGGGGAAGGTCAAATTGACTTTCATACCCAAGGTCCCCAACTCCGACTCTGACATTCCACTATGCTGTCACCTCTTCCTGTTACTCTTTTTCACCCATGCCTTTTATTTTTGCCCCCGAGCCAGTGCTGTCCTCAGTCAACAAGCATTTATTAAGCACTTATACTATATACCAGGCACTGTCCCCAGATCTTGCTGGGGAAAACAAAGAAAGGCAAAAACTGTCTGGTCTCAAGGACCTCACATTCTAATGGGGGAAGTGGTAACAGAAAACAACACGCAAATAACTACATACAAGATATGGCAGGGTGCTCCAAGCTTGAAACTGCACTGAAACTTTTCAATACCCTATATATAAGAGTAGATGGAAAATAATTCTAGAGGGAAGGCTACAGTAGCTATAGTGATTCAGAGAGACCTCCTACAGAAGGAGAAATTAGTGAGGAATCTTTTTTTTTAATTGTATTTTGGAGGCAATGGGGACTAAGCGACTTGCAAAGGGTCACACAGCTAACTAATAAGTGTCTGAGGCTGGATTTGAACTCAGGTCTTCCTGACTCCAAAGCTGGTGCTCTATCCGCTGCACCACCTAGCCGCTCCTAAAGCTGAGTCTTGAAGAAAGCCAGGGAAGGTGAGAAGAAAGAGTATTCTAGGCATGGCGGACATCCAGGGCAAAGGCTAATGTACAAGGGACAACCAGAAAGCCAGTGGAGATGGATTGAGGAATGTGGAGGGGACTGGGAAGATAAGAAGGGCCTGGCTTGTGAAGGGCTTCAAAAACACAAAAGATGATTTTGTATTTGACCCTGGAGGGAATAATCGGAATTTATTGATTGACCAGGTCAGAGGTGGTTAGAAGGTCACTTTGGCAGCTGAGTGGACAAAAGATCTGAGGGGAGAGAGGCTTGAAATAGTGGGGCCAACTAGAAGGTTTTACAACAGTCCGAGTATGAGATGATGAGGCTGTCCCAGGATGGTGGCTCTGTGGGCATATAGGAAGGGGGCACATACAAAAGATTTTGAATAGAGTACATACAGTACATTTGTATAATTGTTTGCTTCTTGCCTCCAATAGAATATGAGCTCCTTGAGAAATGGGGCTGTATTCAGCAGTGCCTGGAACATAGTAGGTGCTTAATGAATCCTTATTGACTAACACACAGAAAAGACAAGATTTGGCAATAACCTGCAAATATGAGGTGAATAGGAGTGAGGAGTCCAAACATTAAGGTGCAAGTCTGAGAGAGAGGATTGTAGTGCTTATGAAAGCAATAAGGAAGCTGGAAAGAGGGGAGGACATGGGCTTGTTGAGTATAAGATTCCTGTGGGGGACCCAGTTGGAGATGTCCAAGAGACAGTTGGATCATCAGACTTTGAGCTAAGGAACCTTAGAGATCACCTAATCCAATGCTGGGACAGCTAGGTGACACAGTGAATAGAGTGCCAAGGCTGGAGTCAGGAAGACCTGAGTTCAAATCCAGCCTCAGACACATACTAGCTGTGTGAGCCTAAGAAAGTCACTTCACGCCATTTGCTTCACTTCCCTCATCTGAAAAATGAGCTAGAGAAGGAAATGGCAAACCACTCCAGTGTCTCTGCCAAGAAAACCCCAAATTGGGTCACAGAGAGTCAACAACCCAAGCCTGTCCTTTTATAAATGAGGGTACCGAGGCTCAGTTCTTGCTAAAGTCATAAAAGCATGAAGCAGCAAAGCCAAAAGTCGATCCCAGTTCTTAGAAAGCCAGTGCTTTTCCCACCATGCCAAAATGCTCCATCTCGGGGCTGGCAGGCCCACCCTCCCCATCCCTCGGTTCCTCCTCTACTCTGGTGCTGTCTGTCCAGAGACAATGTCACATAGAAGACCTTCCCTGGCTCCTTCTCACTGGAAGCCTTCAAGCAAAAGCTACTTGTTAGATGTGTTATAAATACGGGGATTCTTGTTCAGGAACAGGTCACACCAGATGGTCACTGAGGTCTCCTCAAGCTCTCAGATTTTCTATGAAACCTGATTCAGCCTTCCAAGGTCTCAGGGCACTTGCCCCAAGGGGAACTGAGGTCAAGGGCTGTCAGTCTCTGGCTAGGATTAGGGGGACAGGCTTCTTGAAAGTTAGACCCTAAGCAGAGTTTTGAAGCAAGAGAGGAACAGGGCCTGATGCAGAAATTGTTGAGGAATTGTCTTGAGAGCCCCCAGATTAGATGGTGAGCCCCACCCCATGGCTGCTGACCACAGTTCTGCTGAGTCAAAAGGACTGAGGGCTTAGGGGTAAGTTGGGATGGGGACCAGGTTATCAGCCTATAAAGGCACGGGAGTTATGTCAGTTTCGCTTCTGTTATTCTCTCTGGACAAAAATCTCTTGAAGAGAAGAGCCAGAAACAGGGATTGGGTCTGGCTCCTAAGCCAGAATGGGGGACCAGCCCACGATGGAGGAGAGAGAGCCAGCCAGCTCAAGCTCCCACTTCAATGCGGCTCACCAACACATCACACTGAAGCCTCAAGGTGAGCTGCCTGAGCTCCCTCCCTCCACTTCCCCACCTTTGGGATTCTCTCTTGGATTCATCTCACCATTACTGGCCCTGATTCCTGGGCAGTCCAGGCAGGGGCAGGGAAGGAGCAAACCAGATAGGGTCTGGGAGTCAAGTCAAAACGGGCATTTGCTCAGTGGTTACAGGCACTGTGCTAAGCACTAGGAATACAGACTGTACCCTCAAAGACCTCACATTCTAATGGGGAAGACAATGCTGAAAAGAGAGATTTAAAGGTGAGGAGGAAGAGGAGGAGGAGGAGGAGGACGTCCCCTCATGAGGGGCATGGTAGCAAGCTACACTGTCTCAGGAACAGATCCAGGAGAGCAATAAAGGTTGGCTGGCCTGGATATTTCCTCACTCAGAGGAACTCGCCACTGAGGGGAGGGAGCCCTCACTTGGGGGCTGGGGAGGCAGAGAGAAGAGATCTTCCAGGGTGAGAAGGTAGCTGAGGCATGGGGGCAAAGGTTTGGAGGATGAAAGTTTAATTCATTTTTCACTCAGAGGTGGTATGACTTAGTGTTTAGGGTGCTGGACTGAGGGTCCAGAAGACTCGGATGGCACTGCCAGCTCTCGCTAGCTAGTAAGTCTTTTTATCTCTCTCAGACTCAGTTCCTTCATCTGTAAAAAGAGGAAGTTGGCTCTCAATGTCTCTTTCAGCTCTAAGTCTATGCTTCTTTGAATTATTTCTAAGCCCATCATTGGTAAACCCATTCCTGACTTTCATAACCGCGTACGTAACACATCTTATACAACACCTTAAACATCTCTCCCAGAGATCAGGGGGTCTTAGCCTTTTTTTGTGTCTTGGATCTCATGGACAATCTGGTGTGACCCTTTTCAGAAGCTTAAGGGACTCTTTTTTTAAAAAAAATTTTTAATTCATAAAACAAAATGTGTAAGATTATAGAGGGAAAGGGAACAAGCATTTATTAAGGACCTACTATGTGCCAAGCTCCATGTTAAATGTTTTACAGATACTGTCTCATTTGCTCTTCATAACAGCCTGTGAGGGAAAGGGGACAAATCTAGCACTCATTATCCCCATTTTAGAGTTGGGGAAACGGAGGCAGGCAGAGGTTAACTAATTTCCCAGGGTCACACAGCTAGTAAGTATCCTTGCTCAGATTTAAACTCAATTCTTCTTGTCTCCAAGGGCCAGTGCTTTATCTACTGGACCACCTCAAGCTGCCAGATTCTAAGTAAAAGAAACTCCTGGTAGAGAATAGTTCTCCAGAGGACAAGGGGCTGGGACCCAGTGATCCCTTGAGATCTCTTCTGGCTCTAGGGCTCTGGTTTTCCACTCTCTAAACACACCCCCAGCCCCATTTTCCTTCTCAGTCTAAGACAAGCATCAGCAGCAGTCAACATCACACACAGATACTCTAGTCATTGATCTGTACTCAGGCCTTCAGAAAGCTCCCCAATCTGCCCTGCCCACGACTGCATCCCTGGGGAGTCTGTTTTGTGGGACCACACACTTAGAGCTAGAAAGTACCTCGAAATCCGTGTAGTGACCTGTGGTCTGGAAATGGTCTTCTAATCCTTAGATAATTCAATATGGTTCAACATAGTTATACCTTCCACATCCCGGGTGTTAGGGGTGCATCGCCCCCACAATTTGGAAAATCCCTATAAAATTTTTGACCCTTCTTTTGTATCAGAGAAGAAGTCTCAATTATTAAGGTATCAAAAGATAAAATATTATGCAATATTATACATGTATTTATGCATTTCTGTGTTGTCTGTAGGCCTTTGTGTGTTGTCTGCAGCTCCAACAAAACTCCCCAAAATTCCCATTTAATTTCTCATGACAATCTGCAATATATCAAAACCACAATGGGGAAAGTCACAATGTGGAAGGAAAACTGTCACATATTTTATTCTTTGCATTTACAAATGTTCTTCTGATAAGGGGTTCATCCATGGGCATAACCAGACTGACTGCATCTATATGTGTTTATGTGTGTATCTGTGTGTGTGCGTGTGCATGTGTGTGTGCATGTGGATGTATGTGTACATGTATGTAGGGGTATGTGGCTATATGTGTGCATTGTGTGCATGTGGGTGTGCATGTGGGTGTGGGTGTGTCTGTGTGTCTATACATGCATATGTGTGCATGCGCAAATGTGTGTGCATGTGTGCATCTGTGTGCACATACACACATGCACACACACAGATGCACAGATACACACATATAGACACAAAGACACATTACACACATGTGCACACACACACACACATACCCCTCCATAGCTCCTCTCCCAGCCCAAGCTTTTCCTCCCTTGTCCCATCAGTCAGCTCCCTGAGGTCAGGGATTGTTTTTGTGTTCCTGGGTATTCCCAGTGCTTAGCCCAGTACCCAAAGCATAGGAGGCACTTAATAAATGCTTGTAGATCGATTGGCAGATAGTATGTTGCTTGTTCACTGACTGACGTTCTCCAAGGTTCCTGGCCTCTGAGAAAGCCTCTCCTCTGTCCGTTCCCAGTGTCCCTCCACTCCACCCTCTTTCGTGTCCTCTGCTCTCAGGCACAATGGGGAGGGCTGAGGGACTCTTTGCATCTCTTCCTTCTCTTCTCCCATTGCTGCCTCATTTTCTTTGTCCTTCCTCAGTCGAGTCATGCTCTTCCATATGTGGGTCCCCTCTGGCAGCTCAGGATGTCCCACAATAGAAAAAGCAATGACCAGTGAGTCAAAGGACCTGGGTTTAAATCTCAGCTTTGCCACTTTTCCTACCTGTATGACCTTGGGTGAGTCCCTTCACTTTGAACCTCAGTTCCCTTTTCTGTAAAAGGAAGGGACTAAATCAAAGGTTCTCAACTTACTTTGTGTCAGAAACCTCGTTGGCAAGCTTGTGAAGCCTATGGACTCCTCAGAAGAATGTTTTGTTCTCTACATTCATAATTGAAAGAAATGCTAAATTTGAGTTAGGGTTTGGTGAAAATAAAGAGACATTTTTTCCCATGCAAGTTCACAGATCCCCTGTGGATCCCAGATTAAAAATTAAGTGATCTTTGAGATCTCCTCCTCAACTCCTATCCTCACATTAGGCACCTTCCACATACATAACGATACTCCTTCAAACACCCCAATCTCTCCATTCCCCAGCTCACTCGTTTCCCATGACCTACTCCTCTACCCCAACTCAGCAACGTACAACTAGGTAACCTAATGGGGATTGCAAAAGGTTTCTTGTAGAAAGTAGGACTGTAGCTGGGACATGAAGGAAGCCAGAGAAACTGGGAGGCAGAAGTGAGCAGGGGGAGCATCCAGGGCATGGGGGCAGCCAGGGAGAATGCCCAGAGTCAGGAGATGGAGCTGAGGAATAGCCAGGAGGCCGGGATCACTGGTTCACAGAGTACACAGGGAGGAATAAAGAGTAAGACCACTGCAAGTGTGTGGGGGATGGGTGAGGGTTACGAAAGACTTGGAACGCCAACCAGAAGATTTTGTCCTTGGTCCTTGAGCCCCTGGAGTTTGCTGAGTAGTGAGTGATACGGTTGGACCTGAGCTTTAGGAAAATCACTTTGGTGGTTGACTGGAAGATGGACTGGAGTAGGGGGAGACTAGAGGCAGGCAGACCCACCAGCAGCTAGGTAGTACAGTGGATAGACTGCTAAGACTTGGAGCCTAGAAGGCCTGAGTTCAAATCCAACCTATGGCACTTACTAGCTATGTGACCCTGGACAAATCACTTAACACCTTTTTGGCCTCAGGTTCCTTACGTGTAAAATGGAAATAATAATAGCACCTATCCCCACACCAGGGTTTTCATGAGGACAAAATAAGATAATATTTGTGAAATGTTTTACAAACCTTAAAAGGCTATCTAAATAATAATTATTATGTTTGCTGTCATACTTTTAATCTTACCATCACCCATCAATATACTACTCTACAGTGTCCATGAAACTACTCTCTCCTGGTTCTTCTACTACTTATCTGACTGCTCAGTCTCAGTCTCCTGTGCTGAGTTTTCATCCAGTTCATGCATCCCACGGGATTCTGTCCTGGGTACTCCTCGATGCTACCACACTCAATCATCTCATCAGCTCCCATGATTCTATTATCATCTTTATGTTAAGGATTTTCAGATCTGCTTAGCCATCCCAACCTCCCTGCTGACCTCCAATCTCTCATCTCCACCTGCTTTTCAGATATCTGGAACTAGATGTCCTGTAGACACCTTCAACTCAACACAACCAAAGCTGAACTCATCATTCTTCCACCCAAATCCTCCCATCTTCCCAACTGCTCTATTATTATCAAGGGTACTGCTATCCTCCCAGTTCCTCAGACTTATAATCTAGGTGTTATCATGAACTCCTCAGGTATGTCATGTGGAAAATGGGGATAATAATAGCTATCTCTTATCCTCGACTTCCAATCAGTTGCAAGTCGTGTTGAATCTACCTTTGCAACATCTCTTGAATATGCCTCCTTCTCTCCTCTGACACTGTCCCCACCCTGGTGTAGACCCTCATCACCTCACGCCTGGATTACTTCAATAGGCTGATGGTGGGTCTGTCTGCCTCTAGTATCCCCCTATTCTAGTCCATCTTCCTTTCAGCCACCAAAGAAATTTTCCCAAAGCTCAGGTCCAACCATATCACCCCCTACCCAAAAAATTCCAGGGGCTCCAGGACCAAGGACAAAATCCTCTGGTTGGCATTCAAAGTCTTTCATAACCCTCACCCATCCCCCACACGCTTGCAGTGGTCTTACTCTTTATTCCTCTCCATGTACTCTGTGAACCAGTGATCCCGGCCTCCTGGCTATTCCTCAGCTCCATCTCCTGACTCTGGGCATTCTCTCTGGCTGCCCCCATGCCCGGGATGCTCCCCCTGCTCTTCCGCCTCCCAGCTTCTCTGGCTTCCTTCATGTCCCAGCTACAGTCCCACTTTCTACAAGAAACCTTTTCCAATCCCCATTAATCTCATAGCCTTTCCTCTGTTGATTATCTCCAACTTATCCTGTCCATAGCTTGTTTGTACATAGTTGTTTGTAGGTTGTCTTTCCCACTGGATTCCTTCAGAGCAAGTACTGGCTTTAGCCTCCTTTATATTCCCAGCATTTAGCACATTGCCTGGCACACAGTGGGCACTCAATAAATATTTGTTGATTGACCCTTCCAACTCTAAACATACGATGGGTTTTTTAAAAAATTTTATAAATGAGAGGCAGTGCGCCACAGCAACTGATGTATTAGCCTTAGAGCCAAGGAGACCTCCATTGACTTTCTGTCTCCAACACACACTTGCTGTGTGCCTGGGCAAATTACTTGCTGAGCCCCTCCAAGTCTCAGTGCCTTCATCTATAAAATCAGTGATAACCTGTAGTGTTTCCTTCACAGAGAAGGAATGGAGAAGGAAGCAGGGAAGATGATCTTATCTCCATTCCACAGCCGAGAAAATTGAGGGCTGGGGAACTGTCCAAGGTCACAGAACAAATGCTTTTCTGAGACACTGTGCTCTCTTTCTCCAGGTCTGTACTCCAAGACCAAGGACATCTCATCCCTCAGGACATCAAGGATGGTTTCAGTTATCCTCATCTGTCTGATCATAACTCTGGTGGCTACTATTGTTGTGTGTAAGTTTCTAGGAGCTTTGGACTTTGGGCACTACTGACCCTCCCTTGGGCAGCTAGGTGGCATAGTAGATAGAGTACCAGGCCTGGAGTCAGGAAAACTCATCTTCCTGAGTTCAAATCTGAACTCACACATTTTCTAGCTGTGTGACCCTGGGCAAGTCACTTAACCCTCTTTGTCTCAGTTTCCTCATCTGTAAAATGAGCTGGAGAAGGAAATGGCAAGCCATTCCAGTATCTTTGATAAGAAAACCCTAAATGGAGTCATAGAGTTGGACACAACTGAAATGACTGAACAACAATGATCCCTCCCTTTGCCCCTCTCCTGTAAATATCCCACCCCCTCCCCAAATGTGGTCTTTTTCTTTAAATTTTTTTTTCATTTTTAACATGTGGTTTTAAAACTTTGGGTTACAAATTTTCTCCCTTCCTCCCTCACCACCCAACCTCATTGAAAAGGCAAGCAACTCAATATAGGTTATACATGTGTAGTCACGCAAAACACTTCCATAGTAGTCCTGTAGTGAAAAACTAAGTATATTTCCCTTCATCCTATCCTACCCCCATTTATTCTAGTCTCTCTTTTGACCCTGTCCCTCCTCAGAAGTGTTTGCTTTTGATTATCCCCTTCCTCAATCTGCCCTCCCCTCTATCAACCCCCTGCTCTCTTGTCCCCTTCCCCCTTATTTTCCTGTAGAGTAAGATAGATTTCCATACCCCACTGTGCATGTTATTCCCTCCTTAAGCCAAATCCTATGAGAATAAGATTCACTCATTCCCTCTGACCTTCCCCCATTTCCCCTCCACTGTAAAAGCCTTTTCTTGTCTGTTTCATGTGAGATATTTTACCTCATTCTACTTCTCCCTTTCTCCTTCTCCCAGTATAATCTTCTCCCATCCCTTAATTTTATTTTCCAGATATCACCCCTTCATCTTCAACTCACCCTGTGCCCTCTATCTATCTATCTATCTATACAAACATAACTTTTCCCTCCCACTACCCTAATACTGACAAAGGACTCATGAGTTACAAATATCATCTTTCCCTGCAGGAATGTAAACAGTTCAACCTTAATAAGTCTCTTATGCTTTCTCTTTCCTGTTTACCTCTTCCATGTTTCACTTGAGTCTTGTATTTTGAAGGTCAAATTTTCTATTCAGTTCTGGTCTTTTCCACAGGAATGCTTGAAAGTCCTCTATTTCATTGAATAACCATTTTTTACCCTGAAGGATTATACTCAGTTTTGCTGGGCAGGTGATTCTAGGCTGTAATCCTAATTCCTTTGCCTTCTGGAATATCATACTCCATGCCCTCTGAACCTTTAACGTAGAAGCTGCTAAATCTTGTGTTGTCCTGATTGTGTTTCCACAGTACTTGAATTGTTTCCTTCTGGCTGCTTGCAATATCTTCTCCTTGACCTGGGAATTCTGGAATTTGGCTACAACATTCCTAGGAGTTTTCCTTTGGGGATCTCTTTCAGGAGGTGATTGGTGTATTCTTTCAATTTCTATTTTGCTCCCTGGTTCTAAAATAGCAAGGCAATTTTCCTTGATAATTTCTTGAAAGATGGTGTCTAGGCTCTTTTTTTGATCATGGCTTTCAGATAGTCCAATAATTTTTAAGTTCTCTCTCCTGGATCTATTTTCCAGGTCAGTTATTTTTCCAGTGAGATATTTCACATTCTCTTCTATTTTTTCATTCCTTTTGATTAGTGTTACAGTGCCTTGATTTCTCAAATTGTCCCTAGCTTCCAATTTCTCCATTCTAATTTTTAAGGAAGTATTTTATTCAGTAATCTTTTGGACTTCCTTTTCCATTTGGCTAATTTTGCTTTTAAGGGCATTCTTTTCCTCATTGGCTTTTTGGACCTCTTTTGCCATTTGGGTTAGGCTATTTTTTAAGGTGTTATTTTCTTCAGTATTTTTTGGGGTCTCCTTTAGCATCACTCTTGTTTTTTCCTCTACTTATCTCACTTGCTTCTCAAAATCCTTTTTGAGCTCTTCCATGGCCTGGGACCAATTCATATTTTTCTTGGAGGCTTTGGATGTAGGAGCTTTGGCTTTGTTGTCTTCTTCTGGTTGTATGTTTTGATCTTCTTTGTCATCAAAGTAAGATAATATAGTCTGACTCTTTTTGCACTGCTTGCTCATGATCCCAGCCAATTACTTGAGTTATAAACTCTTTGTTAAGGTAGGAGTCTGTTTCCAGTGTGGAGAATGTACTGTCCCAAGCTTCAGGGGTTTTGTGCAGCTGTGTTCAGAGATATATCTAGGGACCTACAAATTTTCAGTTCTTCCAAGGTGGTATGATCAAGGGCGAGGTGTTTACTCCTTTGCTGGCCTGTGCTCTGGTCTATGAGACTCTTTTCTGTCTTGGAACTGTGAGGAGGGTTTCCTCTCCACAGCCACTACAAGCTCTACCACTCCAGTGCTCCTCTTTGCTCCAGGACCACCACCCAGAACTGTGACCCACTTCCAAGCATGGGCAAAGCAAGAGAATCCTGCACCAGCAGAGAGATCCCTGCAATCCCACTCTGATCAGCCACTCGATTCCCCCCAAGTCTGTGGGCTGGAAGCACAGGAGGCAGCCTCTGCCTTCACCAAGCTTGGGGACTGGAACTGAGACTACTGGCTTCTCTCTCTCCCTGCTGTCATAGACTTTTCCCACTGACCTTCCAAGTTGTCTTTGGCATTCATGGGTTGAGAAGTCTGGAAACTGCCACAGTTGCCCATGATTCAGTCCCCTGAAGCCTGCTCCAGGGTTGCTGTGGCCTGCACCCATGCCAAACTGCGCTCCTCTCCCCTCCTGGTGAAATATACCTTTTTGATCAACCATACAGGCTGTCTTGGGCTGGAAATTTGTTTTGCACTGTCTTTTTGTAGGTTCTGCTGCTTTAGAATTTGTTTAGAGTCATTTTTTACAGGTATTAAGAGGGGTTTGGGGGACAGCTCAAGCAAGTCACTGCTTTTACTCTGCCATCTTCCATCTTGGTTCCGTCCCTCCCCAAATGTGGTCTTGTCTAGGCTTCTCCCAACCTGAGAGAACCCTTCCTCCTCACTTACCCAACAGCTTTCGAGATGGCCACGAGCCCAGCTCTGAAAGATCTATGCCCCCCACAGGCCACCATCTGTAGTCTCAAGATAAGTACTTTTCCCATTTCTCCTAAGGCCTGGAGCACCCAGGGGCAATCAGTACTTGGGTTGATGCCTCTAGGTGGATTTAGAGTCTAGAATACCTAATTTCAAATTGTACCCCACACACTTACTAGTTGTGTGGCTCTCATGAAGTACTCTAACTTTTCTGTACCTCAGTTTCCTCATATGTGAAGTAGAGATAATAATAGCACCTACTTCACAGTATTATTGTGAAGCTCAAATGAAATAATATATGGAAAGTACTATGTAAATGTTAATTTTTTATTAGGAGAAATCTCTCTTGCATTCACCTTTCTAATCCTTGCTAGGGTTGGAACAGCTGTTTCTCGCTATCCTATAATTCTTAGAACAGCTAGAATAATAACCTAAGAATATTGTTATGCAGAATTTGCAGAATTTTACAGATTTGCAGAAATAGTGGTCCTTGAATTGTCCCACACCATAGGGTATCCTTAGCAAATTGATGAGTGAGAATGATACCCAATGGCCATTCTCTAAACCAGATGAGTGGCTGCACCAATAAGTCTAGAAAGGAGGCAATTACTAGCCCTCAATGTTCTGTCCCTCCACTCCTTTACGTAAAAATGGCGGAATTCACTGAACCGCTGTGCCTCAGTTTCCTCTTCTGTAAGGTGAAGAGGTTGGATTCAATGGCCTATACGGTATCTTCCAACTCTACATTTATGATCATATGAGCTTTCAAAGGTCACCTGTCCTAACCCTCTGCCTTTACCAATATTAACATTGACCCAAATAGCCAGAGCTGAAAGGGACCAGGCAAAGGACCAAGAGAAAATATCTTCCTTTCCTTTTCCTTCTTCCCCACCCCTAGAGTTAGGTTAGTGTATGTAGGTGACCATAATATTAGCCTAAAGACCTGGGAAAGAGACTGTGACAAGACCCTAGAGGCTGAACCATCTGCTAGGTGGCCCTAAGCCAACTCAAATCCCCAGGGTCATTCACCCACCTGACCTGGGCATGTATTCGTTACCACAGTACATTTGCAACCTCAGGATTTTAATTTGAGTCACTCCTGAAGTTGAGTATGCTGCCACAAGGTGGCAGTGGTGGCTCTTTAGCCAGGACCAAGTGCGTCAGGTTGGACTCTTGTCAGGTTATCCAAAACACTCACACACACACACACACACACACACACACACACACACACACACACACTGTGGGGAGGGAGGGGATGGGGCTCACATCCTTCAGATAATCCTAATTCTTTCCAGCTCTACCCCTTGGCTAACCTTATAATCTTGCTCTCTCCAGATTTCCAACTATTCAGTCCAATTTTCAAGTTTGGTTCTAAGAATATTAGCACCTGGAATGCTGAATTCCAGATGCTTAAAAATGTCCCGGAAAATGCAAGCATCTTAAATTCCCAGGCCCTGGTGACAAGAGACAGTTTGGACAATGCTAGTATTGAGATCAAGATGTTAAAAGAAGGTCTGAAAAGCACCAGCACTCAGACACAGGTGACACATGAAAGTTTGAGAAACATCAGTACTCAGCTCCAGATGTTAAGAAAAGAAATGGAGACGGTCAGTGACTTAAATGCACAGGATCAAAGGCTAGATGGTCAGTTGGGAAATGCTACTGCAGAGATCCAGATGATAAAAAGAAATCTAAAGAATGTTGATACCTTAAAATCCCAGTCCCAGATGTTAAGCCATGATCTAGAAAAGGCCAGTGGAGAGATAAAGACTTTAAAGAGAGATCTAGAAAAGGCAAGTGAGTTATATTCCTTGACTCAGATGTTACAAAGTGGTCTAGAACTTTCCAATGCTGAGATCCAAATGTTAAAAACTAATTTGCAGGGCAACAGCACCTTAAGGTCCCAGGTCCAAATGTTACAAGGCAATTTGGAAAAAAACAATGCTGAGTTGCAAAGACTGAAAAAAGGTTTGGAAAATGCTAATACTCTTCATGCCCAGGCCCAGGTGTTAAGAAACAATTTGGAAAGCACCAAAGCCGAGATCCAGGTATTAAGTAAACATTTGGAAAAGACCAATGCTGAAGTCCAAATGTTAAAAATGGGTCTAGGAAATGCCAATATTCAGGCACAGGTAGCAAATAGCAGCCTGAAGAATGTCGGTGATCAGATCCACATGTTAAAAGGAGATTTGGGGTCTATCAGCACCTTGAAGTCAGAGGTCCAGCTATTGAAAAGTCATTTGGAAAGAGCTAACAAAGAGATCCAGATGCTGAAAGAAGGTCTGAAGAATGCCAACACCTTAGCTTCCCAAACCCAGACATTAACCAAAGAATTAGCAAAAACCAATGGTGAGATCCAGAGGTTAAAACTAGCTTTAGAAAGAGCAAGCCAGATCCCGGGATTAAGAAGTGACTTGAACAAAGTCAATGAAGAGATACGGAAGGTAAAGCAAAGACTGGCTGGTGTCAGTACTCCAAATGATGAAATCCCGAAGTTAAAAAGCCAGTTAGAGACGATAACCCAGCAACAGCAAATGGTGCAAGGTGAGTAACAGCTGGGGTGAGGGAGAGGTCCTTAGCCAAGGGAAGGGAGTTCAGAAGGGGCTCAGAGAAAAGTCCTACCAAGTCAAGGTGAGGAGAGAAGAGAGGGCTCTCCAGAGACTGTCCTCATGGGAGAAATGCAAGTGCTTTACTTTCCAATGGGAGAAAAGGGCAGGCTTTACAGAGGGCTATTTCAGGCTGAGAAGGCAGTAGATGGCTAGACAATCCAAGGTGTGGAGAGCCCAGATGTTGAGAGAAGTTCCAGGATAAAACAGTGGGAGAGGTTGGGAAGTCAAGAATCTAGGAAAGATGGGAAGATCACCCCCTTAGCATCCAGCCTCAGAAACCCTTCATTTGTTCTATTCCTTCCTATCTCTTCCCCTAGAGCGCTTTCTGCGGCTAATGATCCAAGGCTGGCGTTTCTACAACGAGAAGGCGTACTACTTTTCAATTGCCAAAAAGTCTTGGGATGAGGCTGAGGAGTTCTGTGTGTCCCACGACTCTCACCTGGCCTCAGTGACCTCAGAAGAAGAACAGGTCAGTGCCTTTGAAAGGGATCTAAGTTTCCTCAGCTGTAAATGTTAGGAATTGTACTGGATCATTTCTAAGACCCTCTTGGACCTCACATCTCAGCCCTAAGGTCCCTTCTATCTCTGACATTCTGTGATCCCTAAAAGACTGAGGGAGTGAGAGTACAGCAGGGATGGGGGATGGAGACAAGGGACTGATGTGTCCTGGGACAGACAAGTTCTCCAAGAGCAAGCGATTCACCTTGAAATAGAAAATGCTGGGCTCTTTAAAGAGGGGACTCTGGACTCTGGCTCAGGACAAAACCAGACAAGGACTGGTGAGAGCAGGAGCTGAGTGTCCAGTGGGTAAAGGAAATGGGATCCTCTGTTTCTGAGGTCTAGGGTATCAAGAAGAGACATACCAGACATCTTTTCCTTCAGTTCTTAGGCCCTAAGGACACATACACATACACAGCCATGCATGATACATCCTCTCACATTCCTTCACAGACATATGCATGTGAATGCTTTAACCTACCCTCCTACTCCCTACACACACACACACACACACACACACACACACACACACACATTTTATTCCTGCAACAAGCACTTATTATATCCTAGAGACTATGCTATGTGCTGAAGATACAAAAATAAACCAGTCTCTGTTCTCAATGAATTTATATTCTATGGAGGGAAATCAATATGTACAAAGATCTCTCTCTCTCTCTCTCTCTCTCTCTCTCTCTCTCTCTCTCTTCTCTCTCTCTCTCTCTCTCTCTTTCTCTTCTATATCTCTCTATAGCTATATCTATTTATAGATATAGATAGATATATCTATATCTCTATATTCTCTCTCTAAGTAAATATGGAATAATTGTGTTTGGTGTCCTAAACATTAATTCTTCTCTGTAGGAGTTTCTGGTAAAGGAAACAAAAGGAGTTTATCACTGGATAGGCCTGACAGACAAAGGAACTGAAGGCATCTGGCGCTGGGTAGATGGAACTCCTTATAACAGTGCGAAAAGCAAAGGGTGAGTCCAAGTGTCTGCACAGCTCCATAGAGAGCACCATGTACTTATTCCAGGTAGATCAAGGCCAGATATATCATGAGGGGGGATCCATGATGTGTGTGTGTGTCTCCAAATAATAAAGATGAGGATAAGGTTTAATTTCTGGGGCTCAGAGAAAGCCTAGGAATCTTCCTGTTTGTTCTGACTCTATCTAAGCATCTGGCCTTCACAGAGACCCTACTAGGACCATATGATCTGAACATAAACTCAGGATATCAGGGTTCAAGTTGTTCCAGTGGTGTGACTTTCAGCACATCAATATATGTCTCTGAGTGTGTTTGTTCATCCATAAAATAGTGGGATGAGGGAGAAACAACAACCTCTATGTGGTGGGGGTTATCAGGAGAGCCCCCACTAATCTTCTAGACTCAGATACTTCCAATGAAGCTAAGCCTGCATGCTGCCCCTTCTGATCAGCCCTATGTTCAAGCCCCTTGCTTAAGGACATGGCTCCAGGTTGGTCCCTAAGGTCCAACTGGTGATTTGGGACTGAATCAAAGATGGTGGGTAATGGGGCAAGAAGATCCTGCCCACTCAGTAAATAGTAAAAGGGGAAACAATTTCCATTCTCATTGCTTCTTTCTCCCTTTTGAATGTATGTCTTGGGACTCCTGGGGATTCTGGAATCTTTTCCTTGGACTTCCTCATAGAAGTAGGGAGGATTTCCCTCTCCTTGGTTGTGACTGTGGTAGCTATATGTCATGGCAGTGAGAATATCAGCTTGCCTAGTTGAGTCTGAGACCAGATTTTTAGTCCTTGGTAGAATCTTCTGCTTTGAATTTCTTTCCGTCAACAACCAACTCAACAACCCTGAGATGGAAGTTTCTAGCCTTGGTGGAAATCTCATGACCTCATACAGTCAGGAGTTCCTGGGTACTGATGAGCAATAAGAGGTGCTTTCTTTTTTTTAAGGTATATACATTTTTATTTTTTTCTTTTTAATTTTTAAAAGTTATACATATGTAATCATGCAAAACATATCCATAATAGTCATGTTGTGAAAGAAAACATAGACCAAAAAAAAAAAACTCAAGAATAATAGAGAAAGCAAAAAAAAAAAAAAAAGAAATGCTTCAATCTGTATTCAGACACCATCAGTTCTTTCTCTGGGAATGGATAGTATTTTTCACCATAAGTCTTTCAGAGTTGTCTTGGATTGCTGAGAATAGCTAAGTCATTCACAGCTGATCATTTTACAGTATTGCTATTACTTTATACACAGTACATTTCACTTTACATTAGCCCATGCAAGTCTTTCCCTGTTTTTCTGAGAGCTTCCTGCTCATCATTTCTTATAGTACAATAATATTCCCTAATCACACACCACAACTTGTTCAGCCATTCCCCAATTTATGGGCATCCCCTCAATTTCTAATTCTTTGCCCCCCAAAAAAGAGCTGTTATAAATATTTTTGCACAAGTAGGTCCTTTTGCTTTTTTGTTTTTTATCTCTTTGGGGATATAAACCTAGTAGTGGAATTGCTAGGTCAAAGGGTATGCATGGTTTTATAGCCTTTTGGGCATAGTTCCAAATTGAACAGGTGTTTGTCAGAGGAGCAATATCCTGTCTAAACATTTGAGATCTAGCCTGAGACTCACCCAGGCAAACACATGTCCTCACTGCCATGGGAGAACAGCCATTATAATTGATACTGTGGAGGGAGAGAGGAAAGAAATTCTCCCCATTCACACCAGTAAACCCAAGGAAGAGCTGTCAGAGTCCCAAGCCATGAATTCAAAAGAGAGGAAGGGAGGGCAAGAGCAGAAGATATTTCTCTTTTTGAAGTCTACCAAGTGGGTGTCTCTTCCCTCTCAGGAACCAGTCATCTTTGACATAGCTCTCACTTGCCCTGCACCTCACTCCCTGCTCCAGGCAATGATCAGGAGCTTGGACATTTCCTATAGTGAAAGGCCAAGCACCCACAGAGCTCACCCCTTTGGAACCAGAGTACAGCATACAGTACAGAGTACAGCATACAAAGTACAGCCAGAGTATAGTAACAGTCTGCTCCATGGGAAATGTCCCAGTCCAGCAGATCGGAAAACTCCTCTGATTACCCCTATTACATCTCCACTCCCCACTGCACTAGGTTGCTGAGGAAAAAGCACTTCAAGTGTTACAGAAATGTAAGTCATATTATTCTTCAGTCACAAGCATTTATTAAGCACCTGTTATGTGCCAGGCACTGTGTTAAGTACCAGGGAGACAAAGAAAGGCAAAAAACAGTCCTTACTCTCAAATAGTCTAATGGGAGAGGCAATATGCAAACAACTATGTACAAACAAGTCATAGACATGATAAATTGGAGATGATTAACAGAGGCAGGGCACTAAGATTAAGGAGGACTGAAAAAGATTTCTTGCTGAAGGAAGCCAGGGAAACTAAGATGCGGAAATGAGGAGGAAACCCTTTCAGGCATGGGAGATCACTACTGAGAGTTGGAGGGTCTTGTTTGAGGAACAGTAAGAATCACAGAGTGAGGAGTGGGGGAGAGAAGGAAAGCAGCTCTAAGATATAAGAAAATTGGGGAGAGGGGGTTACCAAGGTCTTTGAATGCCAAACAGATAATTGATTTTATATTTGATCCTAGAGGTAGTAGGAAGCCACTTGGAGTTTACTGAATGGGAGGGGAGTGTGAGGGGTGATATGGTCGGATCTGCATTTTAGGAAGATGGATTTAGCACCTGAGTGGAGGATGGAGTGTGAAGAGACTTGTGGCTAGAATATCAACCTGAAAGCTATTGCTGTAATTCAGATATGAGGTAACGAGGGCAGGGGCAGCACGAGAGACGGTGTGAAGGTAGGAAATGGTGAGACCTGACCACAGATAGGATGTGGGGGCTGAGAGAGAGTGAGGATTAGAGGATGACACCTTGGTTGGGAGCCTGAGTAACTGGGAGGATGGCGGTGCCCTCATCAGTAATAGGGAAGTTAGGAAGAAAGGAGAATTTTGGTGAAAGATGAATATCATTTAGATAGTCAAATTTAAGGTGTCTGTGGGACACCCAGTTCAAGATGTCCAATAGGCAATTGAATGTCTGAGACTGGAGGTCAGGAGAGAAATTAGAGCAGGACAAGCAGATCTGCAAATCATCATCACAGCGATAATTTAATCCCAGGGAACTGATGAGAAAGCCAAGTGAAATAACATGAGAAAAGGAGAGGAGAGGAGGAAGAGGGGAGGAGGGTCTCCTCCAGTCATGAGTAAACATTTATTAGGCGGCTATTTTGTATCAGACTCTGCTAGGGGTACAAAAATCAAAACAAAAGTCCCTACCCTAACGAAGCTTACATTTAAACATGGTAAACAACATGGCCATATGTAGGTATATACAAAACAGATTCAAAATAGATACGAGGTTACCTTGGTGGTGGGAAGGCATTAAGAAGCTAGAGAGACCAGAAAAGTTATTTATTAAGTGCCTTCTATGTGGACCCCCAAAGAGTTACACAAGCAGTTTCTCACAGGTGAGGCATTCATTCCCCCATTTATGATTGGGTCCCCATCTCATACTCTTATCCATCTTTCTCCCTCCCCACCGCAATCCAGATGAGAAACATTACCTTTCAATTCAGTTACAAGTAACCCCAATTTTTCCACTTAATCTTGATAAAAGGAAGATTTTTCTTTCCAGGTTTTGGAACAAGAAACAACCAGACAACTGGAACCACGGTAATGGGGTACGAGAAGACTGTGTCCACTCTATGGAGAAGTGGAATGACATGACATGTCAAACACCTTATCCCTGGATTTGCAAGAAGGTGCTTCACCCAACTTAGGGCTTCAATCTCTTCCCCACCCCCATCTCCAGCAATCTCCCAACAAAGGAGCAATCAGGCTTTCACTTCTTCCACCACAATTTCAATTCTTTTCTCAAAAAACTAGGATAAACCTAAATTCTAGGGATGTTGAACTTGGAGTCATTATGACCTGAGTTTGAAATCTGCCTTAAATGTTTACTGTAACCATGATCAAGACATTTAATTACTCTGTGCCTCAGTTTCTTCATCTGTAAAATGAAGGAGTGGGATTTCACTCTATGTGAACAGCTCTATGTTCATGACCTTGAGTCAAATCAAGCCTACCTACTCTGTCACCACCACAGCTCACATAACTTTCTCCCTTTTCCAAGCTCCCTTTGGTGTATACTGACTTTTATCTATGTTTTTGACACTCACTGTTACAATATTATACCCTATGTTCTGTTTCACACATGCCTATCTCATCCCTCAACCAAACTATGAGCCCTGGCAAGGCTGGGCTCAAGCCTAAGACCATGTCTGAAGTTCTAGATTCTGTCCCTAAAATGCCTTTCACAGTGTCTTGTATACATAGATACACAATAAATATTTACTAATCCATTGAGCAATTTAGAATATTCCCATAAGACCTTTCCTCAAACTCACCTGCTCTCCCTACTTCCAACTTGGCATACCCTCAGCCCTTGGAATTCTCATTTTCCCACTAATTACTGTATCTACATTAAGACTTCGCCTTGGGGCAGCTAGGTGGCCACTGGTTAGAGCACTGGCCCTGGACTCCAGAGGACCTGAGTTGCAATTCAGCCTCACACACTTGACTATCTGTGTGACCCAGGCAAGTAGCTTAACCCCATTGCTTGGCCAAAAAGAAAGAAAGAAAAGAAAAGAAAAGAAAAGAAAAGAAAAGAAAAGGAAAAAAAGAAAAGAAAAAATGACTTAAAAAAAAGACTTAGCCTTGAGTATAAGAAGCCCCATACCCTGACCCCTTGTAGACAGTTGGTCTGGAAAACTTGGTCAGTTTCACGAGATTATAACCCTTTCCATCCCCAGAAAATCATCTCAGTGACACTGGTCTTGCCTCCTAGCATCCCTAGGACATGATTCAGTCTCAGTTGATTTGATTGGTTCAGGCTATTCTTACGGATTGGAGACAACCCCTTGGCCTAGGGTAGATGGACTTGCCCAAATCAGTCACCAAGTCCCAGGGAGTTATTAAAGGCAACCAGGGAGAGACAGCAGCTGAGCCTCCCAAACATGTGGTCTGTGTGGCTGTGTGGAAGCACGGGCTTCTCCATCCTCCCCTTACGCCTCCCCCCAGATCTGCTCTTAGCTCTTCTTGACTCCTTTATTGACTGACTCGAGCTGGTAGGTCTGCCTGGCCTAGGCACCTAAGACCACTAAGTAAATGAGACTCTAGTGATCCATTCTCTACTTCCACATTGGAGAGGATCTGCCTTCTTCCTTCTCCAGTGTGGAATTACACATAACACACACACACACACACACACACACACACACACACACACATCTCTAAGCAGTTGAGATCACAGGTCTAAGGAAAGAACAGGTTAGTCAAGATGCTGGACATAGAACTCAGGATGTGTCTTGAGCTGAGCACTGGATGTGCAGTCTGAAGACCTTAGCCCACATCACAATTTGGTCACTTAGGAGCTACATGACCTTAAGCAAGTCACTTAACCTCTATCATCAAATGAAAAGGTTCAACTAAATTATCTCCACAATCCTCTTCAATTCTATTATATGTTCTATAATACTACACCCTTAATTAAGTCAACAAGCATTTATTAAGCACTTACTATATGCCAGGCACTGTGTTAATTAATGGGAATACAAAATATGAGCAGAAAGAAAGACAGTCCCTGCCTTGGAAGAGCTTACATTCCTAATGGGGAAAAGTACACATAAAAGAAAGCTGAAAGGTAGGGATGAGGGTATCCAGAGAGGGAGAAAGTCCATGAGAGTCAGGAATACAGTCTGGAGAGGACCACCAATATGCCTGGCTTGGGTCTCCTCCTTCAAATGGAGGTTCTGGGAGAAACCAATTGATTAGAGGGGGAAGCTGAAACAGCAGGAGATCCTTCCAATGGATGAGGTCCAGGGGTAGCCTGAGCTTCTAGCATCTTCCTGGGCATTGTAGCCAAAGAGCAAGGGAGTTAGAAGTGTGATGAAGGCAGGATTTGAACTCAATATCTCTGATACCCCCAGGCAATGCTCTTTCCATTAATGAAAAGCTTGCAGAAGCATTAGCTATGTTGTTGTCAAGCTTCTAGGTATCTGTAAATGGCTCTTGGATAAATGGAATTCCTCACATTTTACAGCATGAATAAGAGTGGGCATATAGCAATTGCAGGGATGGAGGGGATCAATCAGAGCAGGGAGGCACCACACAAACAACACCAGCCTTGATTCAGATCTCATGCTAGGCAATGGGGTTAAGTGACTTGCCCAGGGTCACACAGCTAGTGTTATGTGTCTGAAGCCGGATTTGAACTCAGGTCCTCCTGACTCCAGGGCCACTGCTCTATCCACTGCACCACCTAGCTGCCCCTGAAGTAAAACATTTTTGACATCCATGTGTAAACTGTCTACACCTCCAGGAGATTTATAGTCTAATTCCCAGTCATTTCTTCTAAATCTTCTGGTCAATAGTGGGAGGTCCCATTCAATTTGCAATTCACTGTCCAAGTGGGAGACACTTAGAGTGTAGTATAGTTAACTTCTAGGAGTCTTTCCCTGAGTCCCTTGGGATAGGCTGAAGAATGGCTGAAAGTGGGGCAGCTAGGCACAGTGGATAGAGCTCCAGCCTTGGAGTCAGTAAGACCTGAGTTCAAATCCAGTCTCAGATACTTGACACTTACTAGCTGTGTGACCTTGGGCAAGTCACTTAACCCCAATTGCCTAGCCAAAAAAAAAAAAAAAAAAAGAATGGCTGAAAGCCCTGATCTCTGCCCTACAAGTCATAATAACATTCCATATGAATGCCAGATGCCACAACAGCTGTCCTACATAGCCATGTTCAACTATCTGTCCCAAAAATAATTTGTGTCTTGCCACACCTGTCCATTCATCACCCCCATGGCCTCTGAAATTCTACCTTACAAAGTTTCCACCTTCTAAAGCATCCTTGCCAATCAGAGTCCTGTCCTGGTGACATCACTAGGCTGTGGGTTCATGCACAATCCAAGCATTGTGGCAAATGAGGTCCTATGGAGATGTCCCTTACACCCAGGAGACACAAGTTTCTGACTCACCCCAGCATCTGCCCATCTTTTTATTTGAATACATGACCTTAAGTAGATTGGACTCAGTGTCTGATGAAGTCCCTCCCAACTATCAAATTCTAGGATTGTGAGATTCTGTAAAATCATTCCCCTTATTTGGGGGTCAATTTCCTTGTGTTTAAAATAGGAGAGTGTACCCAGGGAACTCTAAGGACCCTTTAAGCTGTGCCGTTCTATGATTCCTCCCCCATTCCCAATCATAGAACATTAGACCATGAAGGAACCTTACAGATCATATAGCCCAAGTACTTCATTTTTAAAAGGAGGGAACTGAGGCCTAAAGAGAGCAGAAGTGATTTGCCCGAGGTCACCCAGCTAGCAAAGAACAAAGCCAAGATTTGACCTGGCTCCTCCCACTCGAAATTCAGCACTTTTTTCCAGCTCTTGATCCCCTTTGTCATATTGGATGAGGGCATTCCACTCCCCAGCCTTCCCATCCCAACCTGCATGGGAAAACCCCTTGGGCTCAGCCACTTCTTGCCACAGCACCCCACTAATCTTCTTCACATAGATTCGGTAAGAGGCAACTTCACTCTCATGGGGAAAAGACCCATCTTTTTCAAGACTCAAGGAGAGTTTCTGTATCCCTAAAGCCTCCAGCTTTTCTTCCCATCCCCTAGGCCTTATGCATGAAAACCAAATAGCTAGAGAATTCTCCAATGGGGTTTAGTTCATTCATCTATATCAATTCTCAAGTCCAAATATATTTTGTCTGGGCCTGACTTAAGGCCCTTTGTGATGTGACCCATTCTGCTTATCCCATCTTTGTCCGGCTGTATACATTATTAGCCCATTGGATGAGGTGATCAGTACTCAGGTTCAAATCATGGTGTACCAGAAATGATTATATGAGTTACAAAGAGAGACTCCTCCACCCCAACTAATGAATATAATTACTGAAGGCTGTGATACAGGGAGCACCATCAGCCTTGTATCTCATTCCAGACCTTAGCTTCCCAATTCTGAGGTACATAGAAGGGGGCGTCATTCCAAAATTTTAAAGCAGTTGACTGGCTACCATTCCTTTGATGAATGAACATCATCCCTTCACAAGCCCATAAGCTCATGGATTTCAAGCTGAGCTGAAAGGGACTTCAGAGATAATCTAGTCCAATCCTCTCATTTTACAGATGAGGAAATTGAGGACAAAGATGTCAAGGACATTACAAGAGCCTTCCAGCTGGTCTCCCTGCCTCAAGTTTTTCCTCACTCCAGTCCATCCTCCATTGAGCTGTCAAATTGATTCTCCTAGAGCACAATCCCTATCACCCCTCCCCCTTATACAATAAGCTCTAGGGGCTCCCTATTACTTCCTGAATCAAATATAAACTCCTCCATTTGGTTTTAGAAGGCTTTCATCACCTATCTCCTTTCTAACTTCTAACTTTCCAGCCTTTTTACATCTTACTCCCTTTCACAAACTCTGCCATCCAGTGACATTGGCCTCCTCAAACACACCCAAGACACTCCATCTCTGGACTCTGCACATTTTCATTGGCTATACACCATGCCTGGGATTCTCTTCCTTCCCATCTCCATCTCCTGACTTCCCTGACTTCCTTCAAATCCTACCTCCTACAAGAAGCCTTTTCTTGTCCCCCTTAAAGCTAGTCCTCCCTCCATGGGCCTCTCCCATCTTTCCTAAATCGGTCTTGTTGCTATGTAGTTCTGTCAGATTGTATCTCCCATTAGAATGTAAGTTCTTTAAAAGAAGGGAGTGGTTTTGGTCTTTCTTTGTATCCCCAGTGCTTAGCGAAGTGCCTGGCACATAGTAGGTGCTTAATAAATGCTTGCTGCTTTCTTATTGGGACGTGAACAAGGTCACATAGATAGGGTACTTCCCTTTAACGAGATTTTCCTCTATAATTATGAACTGCTAGCTCATTAGTGGGGAGTCATTCTCAGGATACCGTGAGGTGCCATGCATTTTTCCAACGATCTCCTACATGAAAGCTATGAACCAAGAGATCAAAAAAAAATTCTCTTGTAATGTACGCAAGTCCTTGGGTGTCCTGAGAGGGTCTAGGACACAAGAGTTACATGCAAAACCACAATATAAAATCCTACATGATTTTACATCAAAGAGAAAAGTTCTATGTGAGACCAGAGTCAGGAGAGAACATTATCGAATGGAAAAGTCAGGTCCCCACTTGTTCTCTTTCCCCTTGTCCCAACCCAGGCTCCCTTTATTCCTCTTTCCACTACACAATTATAGAAGGGTAGTAGCTTCAAGGTAGACACCGACCTTGCACTAGTAGGTGAGAATTTTTTTACAAGTTTGATAATAAACATTAGTTTTTTGTTTCTAAG